CTTGCGCCCTCCGATAAGTGTGGCAACCCTAGAGGAGAAGCTTCTTACGAGTAGCGAGCAGAGCGAAACAGGCAGGCTGTCGGGCAGTGTGCGCGAAGTTCCGAAATAAAGCTTAATTTTTATTGTGCACTATGTCTTGTTAATATTATATTAATGCAGTAAGAACATAATCTGTGATATGGAATTCGAGGATTGGTGGTAAAAACATAACCAGAAATCACCATAAGTACCCCGGAATTAGATAGATGAAAAATTTCAATGACTGGCAGAGAAACCAGAAATCCCTTCAAGATTTTAGTATAAAAATAAAAATTAGAAATGATGCTTTTAAAAGGCACACTCTAAAGAACAAAAAATGAAGTTACAGATAACACAATCAAAATGCTTGTAGAATAGTGGATAAAAAACATACAGATTTAAAAATAGAATTTTTGTTTTTGTTTAAAAGGCTTAGTGACAAAAACTAATGTCTATAGTTTAATTTTTCCTTTTTTAAAAATAGTTAACTTTAAAAGCATCTCAGACTAAATTCCTAATGATAATTAAACTAAGACAGTGTTTCCCAAAAATTCAAAACAACATCAAGTATCAAAAATGTGATGCCAACTTGAAATGCAAAAGTTAATGCAGCTTCCAATCAATCCCCCTGAAAAATCTTTAGATTTCATAAAGATTCATCAAAGAATAGCCAGTTTCTTGTTCCAGAGCATTCTGTTTTTGTATGATAATGCAAGGTCACAAGAAAATTATGATTTATAAACTCTTAAATTTCTACAACTGGAATACTCTGCTGTATCTTGCCTGTATGTCCTGATATGCCCTCATTAGATTTTCATTTATTCCCCCAATTTGAAAAGTATCTGAGAACAATATTTCCACTTGGATAATCATAAATCACCTGAGGTCAACTTCAGCACTAGGATGTACCATTGAACTAAGGCTTTGATTACTTACACTAGGATGTACCATTGAACTAAGGCTTTGATTACTTAATCTAGTGCACAGGTGTCTAAAGTGTGCCCCAAAAGTCTTTAAAATGCAGCCCAAATGCTAATTATGAAAGTATTTAAAGTTACACATTTTAATTAAAAAAATCAATGTTTGAATTTGATTCATATATAATCAATTCATTGGCATTTATTTCATATAAAAATTTAAATAAAAAATCTTAGTATGTCATGATGTATTAACTGCAAAGTGACATTCAAATGAAAGAAAAATTTGAAAATGTTTCTTTACTGGAGATTATTTACCTCACAATAAATATCCTAATTTTCACAATCATGCTTCTTAATGACATTCTTTCTCAATGTCTGTACCTGCGTACAAACATTGCGAAAAATGTACCTTGCATAACTCAAAAAACAATTAACTGCAGAACATTATCATTTTGGGTACTATTCCGTTTTGAGGACCATAAAAAATTGCAGGCGAAAATGTATGTGCAAAAGCACCAAATCTAGTAAATGCACCCATTTAATAGCGCGCCAAATCTAGCGTACGTGCTGATTTCAAATTGCGCAAGTTTAGACAGTTCTATATTTCTTAAGACGCCATTGAAATGATAGTTTAATTTTTTAATCTTTTTTGATTTTAAGTCCTTTAATCCTTTTTTCATAGCCTATGGATTTAACAACTTGGGAATTGCTCATGACGAAAACTCTGCAATAGAAATTTTTCAAAGAAAAGGCATCATTCATTATAGAAAATTATGTTTTGAGCAACCAACGAGATGGAATTATGCTTTAGTGATAACTCGGTAGCGAAATAGCGATGCAAGAATCCATTCATTTATGTTTAGCCTTTTTTAATATAAATTATAATAATGATCTGAAATAGTTATTTACTCTTATGCTTCCATTCAGTTATGTTTAGCCTTTTTTATTAATGATAATAAAAAAAAGTAAATAAATTAATACCATCTAAATTAAAACAATAATCTTAGATGTTTATTTACTTTATCTTCCTTTCTTGTGTTAGGGTGCCGCATTTTTTTTGGCACAACTGGCATCAACGGAATAGTACCAAATTTTGTATACGGATTGCTACACCCCCTAGTGCCAAAAATAATTGTGCATCTAACGCAAGAAAGGAGTAAATAGTAAATACTATCTAAAGATTGGTTAATTTATATGAAGGTTAATTTTATAAACTTTATTATTATTATTTATTAAAAAAGCTGGTACAACTCTAATATACGCCCTAATTTCACCAAATGTGGCGATATGTGTTCTGCGCTGGTTTTTGGCGCGATTGCGTGTTCTATGGCAACCCTGTTGACGTTGAAAAATCTTTCGCTGGAGCTCGTTGGTTCGCCTCTGTGTCTGAGAAGATGGGAGGGAAAGATAAAATGGTAGTTGTTGAATTGAAGTTCGGCAAAAGGAAATATCATTGTGGCTATCCTGTTGAGGGGTAGTGGGTATTTGGAAGTGTGGAAAGAGGGTCTGGGAGATTATTTTTAATGGCAGTGCATGATAGAAGTAGGGATTTGTGATTTTATTTATTTGTGAAACCATAGTATAAATTTTCTGGATAGTGTGTCTGGCTGTCATGTAAATACGATAGTGATTACGTGGCGGCATGTTAAAGGCGGTATGAAATTTATATTTCTGCTATTCGAAAACGCATTAATTCATGGTAAGTGCATTTTATTTTATCCTTGTTCTTATTTTGTAGAATGTTATGTTCATTGGTTCTTTAGTATGAATTTCTGTCGTTATTGTTGTTTTTTTAAATTGTTTGAAATTTATTTTAGTTTATTTTGTTGTTTAGTGTCTAGACTGTACAATTCGTAGATGTTTTTTAAAGTTGAAACAGAACGCTGTGTACATGGTATTATTTGAAATTTATTGTTGTTATGTTATTTTATTAAAGCGAGGAGTGCGTAGTTTGTAGATTCGTTCGTTGCCTAACATTGTGCAATTCGTAGAATGTTTTTTTAAGTTAAAACATGTACATGGATTCTTGTCAAATATTTTTGGTTAGAAACTTTACGTTTTTGCTATCTAAATTTTTTGTTTTTGTTTCGGATTTTTAGCTAAATTGTGTGTTCAAAACGTAGTTTTTGCATGTGCGAAAACCGCGTTTTTGGAGACATTTTAGGCTAAAAGTTCGAAATGTAGACAAAAAATTTAGATAGTAATATGGCAGCGTGAAGAAATTTGGCGACTTGAGGGCGCATATCAAGAAGTAGTTCCAAATTTAAACATAAGTGATGGAAGCTAAGAGTGAATAATATTTTCAGATAATATTATAATTTTTATAAAAAAAGGGCTAAAAATAACTGATGGATTCCTGCATCGCATCGCTACCAGTTTATCACTAAGCATAATTTCATCTCGTGTTGGTTTTTCAAACATAATTTTTGTAATGAATGATCCTTTTCTTTGAAAAATCTATTGCATACTTTTCGTCATGGGCAATTCCAAATTGTTAAATGCCATAGGATTCAAAAAAGGATTTAAAAATTAAACTAGTATTTCAATGGCATCTTAAGAAATATAGAACTATCAATTTGCAACGCAATTTGAAATCAGCACGTATGCTAGATTTGGCGCTTTTGTACATACATTCTCTCTGAAATTTTTTAGTCCTCAAAACAGAATAGTACCAAAAATATTACCGGTTTTTAAAATATATGAAAAAATTTTTGAGAATTTTCTCCTTGTATTAATTTTATAATGTCTTCCTTACCAAGATATAGCTTTATATTAATAAACAATTATCACTTTTATTATTACTTTATAATCAATAGAATCTTGATTATGCCAATCAATTGCTTGCACATATTCAGCTACTGACACCTCTGATCATCACTGACCCCCTTTAAAATTTTATAGACCTCCAAGGGATCAAATACCAATCCCACTGGGAATCCCTGATCTAGACATATATTCTGAAATTCTCTCCTATTTTATCTACTGGGGGAGGATTTAATTTAAAACATATTTTAATAAGAAGAAAACAGGACAATAATTAAAAAAATTACATAAAAGTGTAATTAATATTCATTTTTTATGCTCACAGATATTGTTCTGTTCATATATAATAATAAAAAGAAGTATTTTCAAAGAAATACAAAATTTAAAGAGGAAAAATAATTATATTCAATATTTACACTTTTGCAGCTGGTATATGCTATTTAATGAAATAACGAAGAAATATAAAATACAGAAATCCATAAAATATATAAATGATAAGCACTTGCATGGGTTTGTTGTCAAATATATAATTCAAATGTGATAATTCTTGAGAATTCTGCTAAATGTTTAAACTGGAGGTGCAGATAATCAGAAAGCAGCTTTTAAGAAATAAAACACATTTAAATGTGTATGAGTAGATTCTAGTGAATATGCTTAATTAATAATAAAGCAGCTAATAAATACTGTTATATGTACATTTACAGATATATTAGATTGTCGATATTGTATTTTAATTAAAAGATATACTTAAAAAACTTCAGATTAGATATATTTATGAATCAGCAAGAAATGAAAAATAATAATAATGTTTTTCCTTGTAGTTCTATGCATTAACTAATGGAACAAATTATTACTATTATTTTATTACATTCTTTTTACAAAAAATTTAATTCAAATACAAGGAATTAAAACACATTGAGTGTTAATAAAATGGTATATTTTTATAATGGTATGGTCTTTCCTCAATAAAAAATGCATTTAGAATTTAATGCAAACAAAAGGATTTAAGAGCTTTTTAAAATTGAATTAAGGAACTACAAATTAATATTTATTTAACCTAAGAGTTTATAGTGAAACTTCGGGATATAGCGAGAAAACTCAAAACCATGATATTGAAAATGCAAATAATGTCACACATATACTAAAAATTATAAGATAATTTCATGTTAAATAACAAAAGCCTTCTATATATTTTAATTATTAATATGAAAGCAAAAGTAAGCATTCACACAGCAATGCATTTTTTTTTATTTATTTACACGTATCAATACATATACAAAATAACCAAAAAATACTTACAAGTTATCTGGAGAAGAAGCTTCATAAGAAGGGTAATCATTTGATGTTTGCGACTTAAATTTCAGCTCCAAATTTTGTGCAGATAATCCTAGATCTGAATTATCAGATGAAACACTTGGATGGTATAAATGACTGGAATCTTCCTTAGAAATGTTATGCAATGTTTTGACAGGATTTATGTGCTGTTCACGTGTTTTTAACAATGCCTGGATGCAGCTTTTTGCACTACCATGAGAATTTGATGATGCAACTTCAGCAGCATACATTACAAAATGAATTATACAAAGTGAAGCTGGCAAATTCTAAGAAAGAAACAGAGTAAAATTTAAAGTAATACATACTTCATTAGACCAGACACTGAATCTTTTTCATAAATGACTGTATAACATAAATTTTATCAAACCATGAAGTGACTTCAATAACCAAAAATATGACAAACAGTATTTTAAAATTGAGGCAATACTAAGAAAATCTTCTTCTTTTTTTAACAATCAGAAAGAAATGCTATAAAAACACATATTTAAGAATGACTTCCATGCAAAATTTCACATATTTCTGTTCTTTGCTCAGAAAGAATACAATATTTAAATGTGAATACCTAAGTCATGTTATCAGTGGAAGCATTTCACCAAACGCACTAGCGTATAGTAAAGTTCCGACCAGAGACTGTTTTCGACATGCTTCTAAAAGTAATGAACTCTCCCTGAGAGTCATATTTCCTCCCAAATTTGGAAATAGTGCAACCGCAGCACACTCTGAATTCAGAGCCTTTGGGGGGAGGCAAAGCCGTCTCTGCAATGCTATTTATGGTTTACCAGCTTCAGCAGGCATCTGGAAATAGAACAAGTGTACATTGAGTAATGCACAGGTTTTTTTAAAACTGTAGGAAGAGAACAGATGTTTCCGATGTTCTCAGAAAGGATGAAAGATAAAATTCAGTCATGAATATCTGAATGAAAACAAAAGATGACATACGATACGCCTGACATTTAATTTTTACTATTATGTTGCCAAACACGTTATGTTATGTTTCTAATTTTGTCAGTCAAAGTTGTAGTTCACGTTTCCTTTTCGCGTTTTCTGTTTCAAAGCTAGTTTCAACATTTGTAAGCATGGATTAAATTTTTTAAATTCATAATGTGCACTATAACTCGCAGTTACTTTCATAAACGTTTTATATATCATGCAAATTAATTTTTACGCAATTAGGATATACAATAATCCTAAATTAAGAAGCTTATGTTTGCTCAGTTTATAAATAGTGAGAGTAAATATCTTTGCTCAGCTTATAAATAATGATAGTAAATATATACCTGTAATAGTAAATAAACAAGTGCTGGAGGTCCTGCGCTCGCTTATGAATTGGTTCCCCTTGCTAAGAAAGTCCAGTTTTTCGAAGATTCCCGTTGTCGTTGCGTAATTTGTTTAGTTATGAATCAGTATAAATAAGCAGTTATAATTCATTTTCTTAATTTTTTATATTATAAGAACGGAGCACTAATTTAAAATATTATTCATTTGCTATAAGGGATAAATTAAAAATAACAGATAATAACAATCAATATTCGGGTTGAATATATGAATAATTTAATAAAAATATTATTACGCATTTATGATCAATTTATTTATTTAAATTTCAAATAATAAAATTAATAACAAAATTATTTAGTATACCGTTCAGGATTTAATGTTTTTATATTTAAGTAAATTTTTAAAATTTATTAAAATGAATGGCGTTTTTTAAATAACTAAATTCCTAATATTAATTAGACAAATTATTAAATAATGAGAAATGATTGATAATGAGTGATTACTATTAGTTATGGCATACTTTGTCGAAACATTTGCAAAAATTTAGATAATCTACAATTGCTTTATTCTTCAGAGGGAAAAGGCAAAGACAGGAGAGAGGGGAATAACAAGGTGCAGAGGAGACGCAAAAGGAAGAGAAGGGCGGCGACGGCAAGAAGATAGAAAACAGAAAAAGGGACCAAAGACGGAGAGAATGTACAGAAATAAGGGTAGATGGGACTGAACGCGAACGATAATGGCCTAGAGCGAAAAGGAAAGAGGAAGCCGGAAGACGCAAGGGAGAACTCAGGAAAAGAGGGAAAGAAGAAGAATCAAAGAGTGCGGCGACAGGGAAGGTCGTACGAGAGAAGAAAAGGAGGATCAAAAAAACAGGAGGGTGTAAGGGAGATGGACGCCGGGTGAAACGACTGGAGAGAGGGAAGCATAAGATATAATGGACCAAAAAGTGAAGAGATGCTTCCAAAAAACGGGGCAGGCAAAAAAAGAAGGACGCAGGAGTGGGAGGGGAAAAGAAGGGTTTGGACCTCTGTGATCTCATATCATCGCTTTCTGAGGACACTCATTTACTAAGGCGCTTTCAATTAATATTCGAATGGTAAATGTTGGATTGCTCAGCCATTTGGGAACTGCATTCACATTGCAACAATACTAATTTAGAAAAAAATTTTGTCTCTATTAAACAATATTGTTGCAACCGAAAATTTATGCTAATGCGAATTTATAAGCCACTTTTTTGAATGAAAAGAATAAATATCTTCATATAACCTCCCCCCCCCATCCCCAATTTGGTGTAAGAATAAAAGTTTATCTAAATTTCGTTTTTCTCTCTTCTTGTCCATTTTATTTTCAAATAAAATAACATTTTACAGAATTTTGTATTTCTCACACTTAATAGAATTTTATTTAATCCTGATTAATCGCATTTTAGAAATTCGTTGACGAAGGTCTGAAATATTTATTATTAAAATATGGAATTATTGCTCCCACTGCCTGTCTGTTTAGGACTGCTCTGTCACCATCCACGTGATAATTTCCATTTTTTTCTTTTATTTTTATGTGAAGGTATCAGAATAATATAAATAACTAAATCATGGAATATAAAGAGAACAACGAAACCCTGTATAAATATAGGACCAGCAGGGCAGACTTTTCGACCCCCGTTGCAAAATCTGCGACTCTGAAATTTTGTCATTAAGTGCGATTGCACCGGCTTTGATGTGCATTCCGTTCAAACGCCAGATTATCCCCCTACATTAATAATACCATACGGTTAACGATCTCAAGCTATTATTTTGCAATTTTCTTTCTGCAGGTTTTCATGGAGGTAAGAATAAACTTGTTCGCGAAGACTTTGTAGGTTAAATATTTTATACGCAGAAAATTCGAATATAATTTAATGCTGTCAAATAATTATTAATAAATTATCACAACACATCAGTTAATCTACAATAATGAAATACAAGTCTGCATGCGCATTGTAATGATAGATAACGCAAAATGTGAAAACAAGTGGCCGTTTACTAAAAAATATTTATTTTTTTAAGTAATCAAAAGATATTTATAGACTTTGTTGTGAACAAATTTTGAAAATAAATTTAACAACCTGACCTGCATGAAGCTCAATGGAGGTTGTTTTTAAGCTCTAAAGTCCATGGTTCGAATCCCAGATGAGGAAAGCTTTTGGATTGATATTGCTGTTACTAGCGTCCAAGGTCTGTGACTACGAAAGATACATATCTTGCTTCATGCTTATCTGTTCATCTGTGTGTCCGCTTTCAAAGATTTGATATAAAAAAAAAATAGGAATCAACGAATTAATTGAAGCTTATAATAAAAACATTTCCATGACACACTTATGAATGATTTAAAAAGGAAGTGCAGTATCCAAATTTTCATTTTAGAAATTTGGTTTCCGAAGATATATTTTATTAAAAACTCTTTTTAAAAATTAATATAATTTTAGAATTTAAGAGTATCACTGAAAAATTTGATAGAAGCTTTAAGTTTACCTTCTGATGAAGAATGGCACATAAATAATCATGTGACTATAATCCTGCAGTTTTTGTTTGAAACTTTCATAAGAACTCTAATCTTTTGGGCATCTTATTATCATTATTTGGGCATTATATCAATTATTTATGGCATCTTTTAGCTTGCAAGTATTTTCATGTAACTGCAGATTTTAAGAATATTGTTATCCCAAAAAATACTTAGTATAACTAAATAATTTACGTTTATTATGGAAATTTCAAACTAAAATTTTAATCTCCTATAAGGGAAGTAAGTCCTTCTAGATCACGAAAAAGTGAGTTTCCATTATTATTAATCCGACTATTTTCCTAGTAAAATTCATTGCATAGTTGAAATATTTTATTTATAGAGACTGCACATTATTATAATGATTTTAAAGCAAAAATTTAATTTTTATCTTCAGGGTATTGTATATTTTTAAAAAAATCTTGAAAGGGTCTTTGAAATAATAGATTTCAAATACATGATCGCACAAAATTTTTCTTATTCATAGAATCACTTCGAGCTTGCATTTATAATTACAAATTTAATCAGAAATTCAAGTGAACCTGTTTTTATTTTAACATTCGGAGTTAAAAAATCTGCAGTTTTTTTTAATTCAAGACAAAAATTAATGTTTAATTCAAATTTTTTAAAAATTTAGTTATTCTTTAATCAAAATCACTTCTTTAATAATTTATTTCTTCTTGGAGAAAAATTTAAATAGATTTATTCAATATATTTGGTTAAGTACCTCAGTACTGAAAAAACTTGTTTTGAGGGAAAAAAAAAAAAAAAAATGATTCAGTCAATTACATTTAAAAAAATTTTATCTTTATTCTAACTTTGGCAAAATTTTAAAATTCTTTTTCTCATAATTTGAGTTTTATACCACGCTGACGCTTACTTGTTGAAAACTTAATAAAAATAATGTTAAAAACTTACCACTTAGCCTTCTTTAATAGGAAATATTACCTACTAATTGGAAAATACGTCATAATCGCGCTGTTATAAAGGTTCTGCAGCTTCGTGTTTCAATTTATTTTGTATTTTTAAAATTCTTGCTTAGTGATCTTATTAATTATTGTTGCAACTTTGAGGAATGGAATTATTAATTTTTCGAAACCATACGCGCATTATTGTACATTTATATTAATCTCTCAAATTTTCAGTACTTTATATCGACAAAAATTAATTTCTTTAAATCAAATAATAACAAAACAGATCGTTGACATAAGCAGAGCGTAATAATTACGAAAAGGTGTAATCTCAAGTCTTAGTTAAAAACTATTTGAGAGACATCTCTTGAAAGTTGTCTCTTTAAAAAAGAGGCGTGTCTGAACTTACTAGCGTTTGGTAGTACAAACTTTATGTCGGATTTCCGTATTTCCTCAATCGCAGTATAAGAAATTTTTAATTATGTAGTCGTAAGAGCCTTTAACTAGGTACAGGAATTTGGCAGTATGAAGAAAACTTAAAAAAAAAAAAAAAAAATATTTAACTTCCAATAAAAAACAATTCGACATTTGATGAAATCAAAGCTTAAAAAAATATTTAAAAAATTTAAACTCCAAACTTAAGCATAAAAACATTTTCGAGAATTCGGAGCCAAAGATCCTCGGCCAGTTTCAAAAACGAAATCGACATGGGCCTAGAAAGTTTTTATTAGAGTAGACGTTTTAATTTATAAATTCTGTATTCTAATATATATCATCACTGAAAATATTGGATTTAAAAATGACATGCAATTTCCTTCTCATTAGAAGAGTCCAAATGGTAATTCGCCCCGTATCCAAATCTTAGCGAGCGGGCTGGCTGTATAGAAATTTTCATAACATTCCCATGTATAATGTGAGTGCGAGAAAATTTAGCTGAAGAAAATCTTGCATGAAGGCATTGTTCTCCTTAAGTAAATAGTCCTCGAGTGCTTTGGCATAATTTAAATAATCGAAATCTTTATCTTTCCTTATGAAAAATTGGCAACAGAAAAAAATACGAGATGTTGGGATATTTTTCTGAATTTGGATTGGTTATTAGATCCACAAATGGCTGAATGATCAAAGTCACGAACATTGGTACCTTGTTCGGCATTCTCTTTCAAACTGTTGAAAAGAGTGGCTATATGCAGTTTTGGTCTTTCCACATGCATAATATAAAAAATCTGATGTGT